GTAACAAGTTTGAGGGTTTGAGAAGAACGAGTAAAACGGGAAGAAACCTGTTTGTCTATAAGCGAACAGAGATAAATTGGGGCACGACCATGGATAGATTTTTGGGTGAGAAGAAGAATTTTAAAAATGATTCGCTTCCTGCTTTGAGTTGGCTCCTGATTAAGACCTTATTGGTCAGTCTTCAAATCAACAATGAGTATTCATTAATAAACAAACAACTGCATAAAGATGAAAATTCATAGAAATTTATTGACACCTTATCAAAATTAAACATTAAAAAGTTTTGATCAGAGAAATACACAAAATGAAAAACATGGAATCTTATATTGCGCCAGTACATGCCAATAGCAGGCACTTATGGCTAAGTAGATATAAAAACCAAATATAACCATCACACTTTACATAAAAAAATGAACATAAAGAATAATTTAAAATAGTTATAACACAATTAAAATTTGTTAGTAGAACTTTACCTAGCTTCATTTATATTACTCACTGTGACAAAACCAATTTGTTTCTACTTTTGTCATATAAAAGATATACAAAAATAAATGTATCTGAGGCATAAATGAGAGTTCTTAATATCAAAATTATTTTGCATTTATCAAAAGTAATCTAAATTTGGCATGAAAAAATGTCACGGTAGATTGAAGATAAAATCCATACAAAAAATCATTGGCCAAAAAAAAAAAAAATTCAATATTCAATGAATATCCAAGAAAATGAATTCTTAATAGTTGATGAATAATCAATATTAAATTAATATTTATTGCAATTATTCAATATGCAATGAATATTCAATATTCAATGAATATTCATTTAACATTCATTTAATATTCACTATTCAATAAATAACATGCATTATATTTACCACATTTGATTATGCACTTGTATTATAAAATTATGTGTATCATAAAAGTATGCAAGTACAGTATTTTAAAATACTATTGTAAAACTACAATACATATAGTAGTAACATACTGTATCTGATAATTCACCATTTTACAGTTTCACCATCATCTTACACTACTCGGTGTAGACTTTGCTTGCATAGCATACAGTATACTTATTCAGAATATTTCTTATAACTTTCTTTGTTTTACAGTTGAACTTATCGAATCCAAAATAGCAGTGAAAAATTGTTCGACTTAAGTAAAATTCGACAGATCATTAATTAATGGAAAACACAACAATTTGGCATGTAAAATAAAACTGACTTAGAAATTATTCGAGTTAGGCAAAGTCGACTTAGGTGAGATTAACTGCATATCTATTATTCAAATAATTAGCTTTGACAATTACATTTAATTTACTATTCCTTTTTACCTGATCCATCTTGGAGATTCCTCTCCCCCAACCAACAACCTGTATATCATCCTGAATTGATCCCATTGTAACTTAAAGACTCATATAATAAGTACCTCCTCTTAAATGTGCATCTCACTCAGCCATTTATAAGTTGAATCCCTAAAGTTTAGCTTGGCTATGGTGGTGACATTTAGAACAATGGTTTTTAAGCCACCACATTTTCAACAAAAATCAGAACGTAAAAAAAAAAACCACCAACATAAAAATTTATTTAAAAGTTTATTTACCATTATTTTAGCTTAGTAATAATACATTCTTGTAATATTCTTTGATTAACTATTCTGCATATTGTTTAAAGCACTGAAGATATAAAATCCACAAAACATATCAAAATAATTACAGGTATCATCATCATAGATTATAAAAATATTTAATCTCAATTTACATTAATACATTTTGTTCATATTAATTTCAATTATTAATGGGAGCTGTTTAATTATTTACAAGTTCAGTCTTATTCAATAATGAGTAACTCACAAGTTACAAAATTGATCGATTGATTGTTTAATATCTGTCACATGTCTCATGAAAGAAGGTTTGTCAGCTGCAATTTAACAACTGACCAAATACTGTATATCTCATTAACAGTTAAGCTCTCTAAAATAAAACAGTTGTATGCATCATGACCATATTTAGGTAATGTAAAATGTTTTTCATGAATTAATTACAATTTATTTGGTCCATTACTTTGCCATTATTACGAATAATTATTATAATTTTTTTTATTCTTATTTACCTTTGTGCATGAGTCTTAACATAGAGGCCATTCTTACAGGGTTGTACATATCATGGTTTTGCCAATCATCTTGTAATGTAGGCCTATTAATTTATATTTATATTTTATAAATATTACATTATTTTTTGTTAATATACTTAAAAAAAAAATTGGTATAAATTAATTTCTTTACAATTCAAAAATTCTTTTAAGGGCAAGGTTCGAACCCAGGAGGTTGGAAAGTGAGCATTTCGAACAAAAACTTTTCTCTCAGACCAACTGAGTTCCACCCACCCCACTTAGGACCAATTAAGTACTCGATTTTCACTAGCTATCCATCCCTCCACCTTCCCGGAGAAAACATCCTGGATCCGCCAATATTTCAGGCTACTAGTCCACATAAATTTTGCAAAGCTAGCTAGGGTACTACATGAAACACAGCCATAGTAAACATCTATAATATTGTGATTCAAAACTAACATGCACTGTGCTCCAGTGTTGTATTTTAAATTTTCTAAATAACATTTTTTTTATATTTATTTCTGTACAAGGTTAATAACAATGATAGTAACTATTAATTTCCAGCTGAACATGATCACTAAATCACTGCAAGCACACTACAGATATCCTCGAACACATCACGAACTAACAAAATCAAAGTAGAGAGTGTTAGTTTGTGAAATCACAGTAGCGCTTCAAAACGAGCGCATATTGGTTGTCAAGCAATTTTGTATTCTTTACCACACAAAAAAGTCCTTAACGACAACTGCACAGATTTTGATGCGCTTTTATGATTTCATGAACTAACACAATCTAATTTGATTGTGTTAGTTTGTGATGAGAGCGATGGTATGTGCAAGGTTAGAAAAGCAAGGGGAAGGGGATAAATGGGTGAGCCTGGGGTAAGACTAAGGTAAAAAACTAGTGTTACATCTACAACTTATCTGTTGGCCTCTTGATCATCTATCTTAACCAATCAATCAATCATTCAACCAAAGTAACTTATCATTTAATCAATCAATTTTACCCATAAATACACATGTTTTCAACGTTATTTCTTAACCATGTCATTGTCACAATCTACTTCTTGTCTTTTTCTGTAAGCACCTTTTCAGTGACAAGTTCTGTGTTTTGCCCATATATGGATGTCACATAACAGTATAATGCCCATATATGGGCCGATCATAGGTATTTGTCACTTAAAAATGTGTGACAATGGACATTTCAAGAGTGTCAATCAGAACGTGTCAGGAAAGGTTCATTCACACTTGAGGATATATGCTACAAGATATTTGTCATCTTCCCAGAAATGTTTATGCCTAGCCCAAGCACCGTTTCTGCAGTAGATAAATTATGCTATGATCAAACACACCATGAGCATCTACATTAGGAACTCAACAAATCATGCAATTATAAATTAAATAAAAAGCAATTCAACAGAACTACAGAAAATGACACTCAGAAACTAACATAAACAAAAATGTAAACATAATAGAAAATTAATGATGAAAAGAATATTATAAATGTTATTCACATAAATGTGAACAGAAAAATGTAAAGCCAACTTTAATCATACAAATAATACCTTTAAAAATGTTATAAAAGATGTCTATCTTGATCTGCAAAAAGAAATATGCAAATGAGATTATTTTAATAAGTTTTATGCAAATAGTTCATGTAGCAATTATATCATTTAAATGTGTTAAAACGATACCTAGCATGCTAATGGGTTAGCAGTGCCGTGGAACTCCGAAAGTCATGATTATGGTCAATGGCGAGTCGAGTGGCCGAGCGGTAAGGCTGGGGCGCCACTAACTACAGCCTTAATATCAACGCTGGTTTCAGCTGCTCCTCCCCTAGGTGCAGTTGGTAGAACCAAGTCTTCTCGAAAAAGGAATTCAAATAAAGAACCCATTGAATCTTTCAAAAGAGTAAATCACCCAGATACTATGGTTTATTTCAGCCCTGTCAATGTGGAATGATGTGAATATTTAGCTAAGTGCCTTTTTACGCTAGGTATTCACATTCAAGTTAAGGGTGATTCTCCTACCTTTACCTTTATACAGGTAATCAGGGTATCACTATAGCCCATAGAAAATCAGAACCTGTCTTTACATGTTTGTGTTTGATAAGAAAAAACAAAAACAGGACTACACAGGTAATGAATCAGGGCTCCACAGGGAATAAATAAAGGCTTCAAAGGTAACAAATCAGGGCTTCCCAAGCCCTGGGACAGGGGTTGGCCAACAACAAATTAAGGTTGTAAAAGCAACACATCAGGGCTTCAAGGGTAATCAGCTTCTTACACTTGCCTCTCAAGTAATGATTCCAGGCCTACAGTTTTCTTAAAACAAGGTTCTAATAAGTAACAAATCAGCACCAAATAGTTGGTGTAAAAATAAAAAATGAAGATCTCAAACAAAAAACAAGCAACAAACAGGGCCACCTAACAAAAGCAAACTTTGGAGAGTAAATTCATATTTTGTTGTCTTTATTTTTGGTTTATGTGGGGTTGAAAATTTGGTGACTTAGAATATCACATGTTAAAAATGTACTAAATATTATGAGTTATGCTCAGCTGCCTGTAATTTTACATCCATAGGTTAAATATAAATGCAAAATATAATGGTTAATTATTATTTTGAAAAAAAGCAAAGATTAAAATGCAAATTATATTTGCAAATGAAGATAAGATAAATATGTTAAACGCTGTTAGGGTATTATAAGGTGTCTAGATAATTCAACTTTTGTTTGAGAATACAAAAATTTATTTATCACAGCTTTCGAAATTCTATGCATTTTCTAATAACATTATATCTACAGTGGCAGACTCAAGGGATGGGGAACCTAGTCAGCCTCTCCCTCACCCCACAGAATATTTAAAAATTTATAAATATTTTTAGAAACAATAAAATCAAATTTTAAGTCTGAAAGTGCAATTTATGTTCATATAGAGGTGCATAATTTATATAATAATAAATTTTCATTTTCTTGTGTAGCCCCCTCTATATGTAAAAGTCCTTCCCTGGGTCCCCTCTATTTCAAATTCCTGGATCCGCCACTGCGCTATTATTTTGTATATTATGGTAATACACTGTAGTTCTCTGAGTAACAAGATACATTCCAGTAGTTTGAGTAATTTGTACCCTCAAGACACTATAATAATGCCATAGAATTTTCAGTTTACTTATGATTCATATAGTAAATAAAAGGCACTTTACATTAAATTGTGTTTCGCAGATTTCATAAAAATTGTTTTACAGATTTTGTAAAAATGTTTTTCTCAACAGAATTTTTAATCTAAATTTTAATTAAATAATACACAAATAGTGTAACAAATTTTGAAATTTAAATATTTTAAAGTCAAATGATTCAACATAACTTTAGAAAGAATTCAAATGAATTTCAGTCGGGATTTCATTAGCATGCTTCAGAAATTTCAGGATCCCAGCGGGATCTTGGGTGGTTGAAAGTAAATAACTGTGACTGGTAAGGAAAGGTAATTGTACATCTTCACCATTTAAATAAATTTGAACAAATGTAAAATATTACCAATGTATAGTCTACACAAATATGAAATAACCAAGTAATGATAAGCTTTATATCTACATATTTTACAAATTTTAAACTGTGTACATGGATTTCTTTATAATTTTTATTTTCTAGTAATTATCAAAATTATGAAAAAGTTTTTAAATCCTTCAGTTTCCATTTCATTGTTGTTAATGTTAACAATTAACCATCAAATATAGTTTCTGAAAGACTTTGGTGAGAAAAGAAATAAGCCCTGTACCAACAATCAAATTATATTTTACAAAGACATGCGGCATGCCTAAATATGGTCATGATGACATCACATCATGACCATATATAGGCACATCATGACTATATATAGGCATATCATGACTATATATGGGCATACAAATAAAATTAAATAGACTGAACAAGTCTTTACAATAGATATAAAAATGTAATGGGAAGGTATATAGATAAATCAATGAATGCATATTTAAAAGCGATATATAAAGAAACATGTTGATACTTGGATAAGTGAGGTTGCCACACCATCATTTGACGGGCTCAACGCCGTGGATTTCACTGATCATTTGGGAATGAATTGTTGCTCTCATAAATCCCTAGAAGCAACAAGAAACATCATGAAACATGATGATAAAATGAATACAGTTGTAATGCTCATATTAATAATCATCGGTGTAACTCAAATTATTACCTAACATTCGATGGATGTGAGAAAATGTAGGTCGATCTTCAGCTTTCTGCAAAAAAAAAAGAAAATTATTTTATGTAAACGACAAATTTGCATAATATGGAAAATACTTTATGCAAATTATCAATTTCCATATTTAAAAAATGCAAATTATAAATCTGCATATTCATCTTAAAGTAATTTATGCAAATGACAAATTTTTATATCAAATAAAAAATACTTTATACAAATGATCAATTCTGACATCAAAAATATTTGTAAAATGAATATGCAAATTATAAATCTGCATATTCTCCTTAAAATAATGTATGCAAATGATCAATTTGCATATCAAAATACAAGAAAAATACTATTCAGATTTGTAAGTTTGTGAATGAGGTAAAGTCACTTTATGAATTACTGCTAAATTATTTTTATACCAACCTCCTGCCAGCATTTTCTCATCAATCGGTAGACATCGGGTGGACAACTGTCAGGTTTTTCCATACGGTAACCGTGACGAGTGACTTGATCTACAACCTCAACGTTGCTCATGGTTGGATATGGCATTTTACCACCAGAGAACACCTCCCACATCAGAATACCTAAGTTACAATAAAAAGAATATAAATTTTGGGGATCGGATTCAATACTAGCCACTAAGCACAATTTCGATGGTCTAGAGGTTAAGACACCATGCTAGTTGTCGGGAGGTCATGGGTTATATTCCCCCTAAATCATTTGCAAGATTTTCTTTTACAAGTATTTGGAAATGTACTGAGCATTCAGTGCGATAAAACGTCACGTAGTTTGTATGAACACCTCTGAAATTACCATGAGTGGGATTAATTGGGTGTGTGATTGCTCTTGTCTATGCCTTAAACCATATCCCTATTATGAAATGGTTTGTTCCATTATTGCAGTGCTTTATTCCTACTGGCATTTCTTCTGATTTCCAATTTACTTACCAAAGGCCCATACATCTGATTTGCTACTGAATCTTGTGTAGTGAAGTACTTCGGGTGGTGTCCACTTGATTGGAAATTTTGTTCCTGAACTTGTATAATCATCATCTAGAACATACCTATTTATGGAATAGAAAAACATTGATTAACTTGAATAATTCCCAGGATACATACCGCCTATGCAGTATATTGTTAATATTATATCTCTGGTGCAAATATGAAAATGTAGTTTTTACCTTGTTAAACCAAAATCGGCAACTTTTACAATATTACGCTCACCTACCAAACAGTTTCTTGCAGCCTAAAATATTTAAAATGAAGAAGATAGGTTATTAATTGCTGGATTCATTTAAAGGACGGGGCCCAAGCAAATCCAAGAAGTTAGATCAAACTTAACTGTGTGTATATCTGTGCAATGGAAAAAATATATCAATCAAACAATTTCCCTTCATTTGACTCTCAATTAATGTCTGAATTCTTCACCAGAATATAGTTTTGGATAGGCTACTGAATCGTAGGTCAATTGTTTAAATGCATCTGCCACTTCACAAAACTATTGTCATTTTCATTCAGTTCATGCAGAGGGAATCCCCGGGTATAATCAACCACACCCACTAAAATTGGGTCAATTTCATGGGGGGTGGGATTATACCTGGGGAACTATGGTAATAATAAGTAAGGACTTATAGAGCCCAGAATGTATAAAGTCTCTATGCACTAGACCTATGTTTTGAGTTTGAATCCATATGAACTACACTACTTCTTAAACTATGGTTGGTTTGGTTGGCCATTGACTCCGGAGAGTTCATCCGTCCTTTTCAACGTATCTCTTCTATCACTGATGCATTCTGGAATACTCACCAAGTCTCTATGGATGAATTTCTTTGATTCTAAATATTTCATTGCTGCTGCCACCTGGTGACACATGAACACTAGAAGACTACTTTTATCTAATAACTCGGGGTGGCGCCGCATATAAAACAGCAAACAGCCTGGAGAGGGAGACAAAAATAATAATAATAATAATAATAATAATAATAATTATAATATACATTTATACAGCGCATATTTCGCAGCTGTCTCTATGCGCTTTACATCAAATTATAAATAAAATGCATGATGGCAACAATAATATAAGGTTTGTGGCAAAACAGCACTAGGTCTCAAAGGGTCAACTATCCTTCTCTGCCCTGGCGCAATCCTGGTCCCCTACCTAGGTGGCGCAAACAAAGGAGCAGGTTTAACAATTGCCCTGGCACAGGTGACCAGGTGCTCAGGGTCTACAACTAAGATTGTGGTCTCAAGAGACAGAGCAGGCCAGAGACAAATTATTATACAGTTAGTTGATTGTGTTTTAAGTAGTGATGACACAATTGCAAGAGATACCGAGGATGTTGCGCAAGCAATGGATGATAGAAAACTGTGGTGTGTCCAAGTGTCATCTATCTCAACGAGTCGAGTGGCCGAGCGGTAAGGCAGGGGCGCCGCTAGCTACAGTCTTTAACATCGGCACTGGTTCCAGCCGCTCCTCGTCCATGGTTCGGTTGGTAGAACCAAGTCTTCTCCAATAAGGACTTAAAATGGAGGTCCTGTGTATACATCTGGCTCGTGTGCACTTTAAAGAACCCATTGCATCTTTCAGAAGAGTAGGGGGTTACCCCGATGTTATGGTTCATTTCAGCCCCTGTCGTTGTGGAATGATGTGAACATGTATCTACCAAGAAGTGCAAAAATCAGTTGGAGGGCCAAAATGAATTTTTTATTTAAACTGAGGGCCGTACCCAAACTTTGATGTTTCCAGCGTTCTTTCCAAAACCTCCAAGCATTGCTCCTACACCACTTTATTCCCAGTTTTAATATTACTTTTTAGAGATAATCGGTGTCGGGCTGTAAAAAAATAAGGTGTTTTCAAGCCAGTGTTGCATGGCGGTCAGATTAAATATCTTTCCAAATCACAATTTTGTGTGAAATGACATCATACTTAAATATGAGCAAATCACAGAAAAATTGATAGGGTGGACAAAACGTTAGGAAATAACAATTGTTACAACCAGATAATAATATGGATGGATGGACTTATTCGGTGTATACACCAAGGATAACCCACGAAAGTCTAAAGAAGACTTATTTCCAGTGGGGTCCTTCTGGTGGTGATTGAGCAGTACACCGGGAGACAATCCCCTACTCTTTTCCAAAGAGTGTACTGCATTTTTTAACGTGCACATAGGCCATAATGCACACAGGACGAACAGCTTAAACGTATTATCAGAAAGACAGTGCGCTATTGTAACTTGCATTTCAGTCCTCTAGCTAAAATACAAGGACACCAGTGATGGGAACTGAACCGGGGACCAAGAGATCTCCACGGTTCAGCGCACACACAGCGGCTTCACAAGTAACAGCAACAGCAGCAACAAAAACCACAATCATTATATTAATGGTAATGGTGATATACCTGTAAAGTGCGTAATACAAAATCGCGTAATACAAAATCGTCTCATGTACTAAAAAACCATAGCCCAAGTGAACAAAAAAAGAAAGAATTAAAGAAAAAAAAAACAAAAGGAATAAAGTTCAGAATTAAAATAAAGAGAAAAGATGGGATTTTAGTCGAGGCTTGAAGACAGGCAAAGATGGAGAGTATTATAGTATTTCCTCACAAAGTATAACAATGTAGAGAAGGAACAAATTCCTCGGGAGAACAACGCTCCTATACACTGTAGGAACGTCGCATGACCCCCACCTAAGATTTTTGTTTGGATTCGCCCCTTCATTGCGCTAATAAAATAATTTGTTTACTATCTTACCTTTTGGTATATATTCAGTAATGATGCGTAAAGGCCTAGTAAGACTGGAAACACCATACAATTGCACTAGGTTTTCATGTTGTAACTCTCTAAAAAATAATAAAAAAAACATTTTCCTTCAAAATTCAAACAACATTTACTTTCAGTGTTTGAGTCAGGAAACTTAATATGAATGACCTTTTACTCAATCTAACCTAATTATCATACTGAATATTCAGTAGGTACTGAGCATCGAGTTTGTGCATAATGTTAAGTTTAATAAAATACAAATAATCAAAAATTAATTTGAAATAAGAAGCAGCCAGGAACAAAACAAATAAAGTAGCGAAAGGACTTGAGGTGCGATTCAACAAGAGACTGCAGTGGCATAACACACCACCAAAGCTAAATAATCCCACTCAAGTAGTTACAAATCACCTCATATCCCTTAATCATCAAGCTTCCCCCCCCCACACACTTCACCTTCACGAACCCCCTAACCCAACAGGGCTTCCCTCCCATTTCAAGACTCCTAGCTACACTAGATATTAGTGATGGTTTAGTAGAAACCTGAATCAAAAATATTGTGCCATATTGCCTTCCCTCTAAAAAAGACATTGCAGACTACTTCTAAAAATTTATACAGGGTACATTTTGCCAGATCCCTGCTCAGCGATGATGGTGTATCCCCATACTGCGGTTCGGGTGCATGGCTTATAGTTTTCCCTTCTCAATTTTTCCAATTACATCTTTTCACTTGTTTTTGCGCATAAACCATCGTATTTTGCACAGTATCAATACATAAAATTTGACCTTTAACCTTTACTTACTTCATAACTTGGGCCTCTTCAATGAATTCATCTTCTGACATACTGCCCTCCTTCATTGTTTTCACAGCGACGAATTTACCGTTTCTTAGTTTTCCAAGGCGTACAACACCAAACTGACCACTCCCAAGCTCTTTCATCAATTGTAACTCAGCTGGATTTATCTCCCATTTGTCTATAAAATTAATAAAGTTATTAAAGTAATATACAGTAATGTAGCTAGGCCTAAGCCGGGCACTAACTGCGGCTAACGTGATTCTATGTGGAACACAATGCCACGACAGAGTGCAACGGATCATTTTTAATGACAATAAGTTAATACTGCCATTGACAGATAACAGATGGCGTTGAGTAGTATAGATCTCACGGGAAGCGGAGTTGGAGTCGTACGATGGTCGTAGTGTGTGCCGGCTTTATAGAGCGCTTTATACCGACGTCTCAAAGCGCTGAATGTGTGGAATAGCTTCAAACTCCTCTGAAGGTCACTTCGTCTGAGCTACTCAGTAAACCGATCACAGAGGCTGTTTGCAACCAGCACACTGGGGTAACCAGTGTGCTGCATTCTTTACATTGCACAAGAGCCAATCGTGTAAACTGGGCTAACGGTTTATTAGCATATTGACTGACAGGCATAATACAGTAGTAAGTGGCATCCCATTCACTGACACAATACCAGTGACCACGAGTGGGCATACTCACTGTAAAAATTCTTACCTGCGCCAAGACCAGCTGTTGTTGGTGGAATATAGCCAGGAGGGTTTCTTAATCGTGTTACTAAGCCTAGAAAAACAAGGAAATTAACTAATGAGAAAAACACAAGATAATAAGCACCCCTCTTCAATATGTGCCACATTAAACATAATCTTTTTTTAATAAAGCTCTGCTCTGGAATAAGAACCTGAAGATTCACTAGAGATATACCCTATTTATTTCACCCCGGGGAGTTTATTGTTGAGAAGCGTTTTTGAGTGGGTGTTTGTTCGAGGGAAGCGTTTTATTCAAGAGAGGCGTTTATTTTTTTAATGTAAATTACATACGTACAGTATTTTTACTGTTAAAATGTGGAAATACAACCCAAAATAATAGGAAAATGTGTTATTATGTGGTCATAAATACTTGTTGATCCAAACCACATTAGAAAAAATGGAATTCTACTGGAGTACAACATTAATAGAATATGTTGAGAATGATGTTGCTTCCATTAGATTTGTTTAATGTTATTTGATGTAAAAATAAATGGCCCAGAGTTTTTATACTAATGCTTCAACAAGTTACTGTAGGTCGGAATGTAATTTCATACTTCATGAGTGGTGTATATCCCTGGTTCTTAAGGGAAAATTAAATTTTTTTTAAATACTTAAAAAACTAAAATTAACAACCACTCAATGAATATGTTTTCAATAAGTGAAGGCCAAATCACAACACTGGGCCAAAGTGAAGTAGGAGTGACCCCCACCCAGATCTGGAATTAAACCAATTGACAAATGCCAAAAGATTGGTAGTCTTAATGAAAATATGACAGCAAATTAAAAATAAAAACTTTATCAGAGACTTGTTTCTATTATGAGTAAACCCGAGATTTTACGGGCGAAATGACTTTAAATAACACAGAAAATATTGTCTGCCAAACTATTAAAGTTGAACAAACTTTGTATGGCTGATAAAAAACAAAATACTGTGTTTTTGTCATGACTATGCCTGTAATTTCATGGTTTGAAAATAATCCTATGGGATTACTATCAGCAGGAAGTTATAAGGAGGATAACCGAGCAGGTAACAATATTTACAGTAGTTAGGCGTAAAAAGCAAGGTTAATATGAAAAAAAATATCTAGTTTTACTCTGATAGGAGGAAAAAAGCCCAATTCAGGAAACAATATACAGTTACATTAGCATTAAGAAAGAAAGACATGACAAGCCCTATTACCAGTCACTGACAACATTAAACATCCAGTGACCCTGAAAAATATTCTTGGCATGAAACTATGCTTTATTAGTAAGCCTGCTTATTTATTAGGCCAATGCAACTATTCAAGGTCTGCTTTCAATGCGGCACTTCACCACTTGCTAGTCATCACCTAGACTTGCCACAAGTCTCTTATTTTTTTATCATTTTTCTCATTCTGGACAGCGCCACCAACGAGAAAGTTAATTTAGAGATAGACGGAATAAGCGACTTGTAAAACACTGAAATCAGGCACCAGGATGCCAAAAGAATGAAGTAATCTTATATTCCGTGGATAAATGGGCGGACTGAAATAAACAATTTCAACCAATCAAATGTTCATATTTTTGGAGCCACGAAACTGAGTCACTCGCCGCTCGCGTCGACTAGTTAGGCATGACTAAATTTAAATAGTCCTCCTTGAAACTGGGCTAAAATATTTAGAATAGACCCTAGTAAGACTAATTTTGGCAATGGCAAAAACAATTAAGCCTAGACTAGATGGCATACCATATATACAAATACAAAAAAAATTTTTAACTTTCCAGGAGGATGGCTCAGGCCTCGTCTGGAGTCAGGAGTAGTAGGCCTAGCCTAGACTTAGAGGCTTGGCGTATTTTTAAGTTCTTACTTACAGAGGCCTACTTTAAGGTAAAACAATATTCTACTCTAAAGGCCTAAATCTGTGTAGCAGCTAGCGGTGAGCAAAGTTCCTAAGTATAGCCTATCAGTCCATGTCGTTCTCAGCAGGCCAGAACTATACTAACTGTTTTAATTCAAGTATAGGTAGCCAAAAGGGAGCTGGTTAGCGTGTTCTACTCGGGACATCCGCATCTACAATTTTGAAAATTTACCAAAATTGATTAATATGCATGAAGTTAGCCAATCACGTGATTTACAAAATCAGTCATGCATACGATATCCCACATCAAATTTGATGTGGGAAATCGTACGCATGAATCGTTTGCCCAGGCCCTAATTCGAAAAAAAAGAAATCTAGTATGGGACGCCAATTAAATTAGGTATGGCGCGCACTAAGTGCAATAAAGAGTGAATAACCTAAAATTAGGGCCTGGAACCCAGGCTACTGCTCACCCTGCCTGTAGGCCTGTTGGCCTGTCAGGTGTAAGCCTCTTGATTAGCACCTTCCATTCAATCCTGTCAAGTGCAATAGACTTTACTTTTTCAAAGTCTTTCTCTTCCCTTTGAGCGATCCCTTTAATCTGGTCTTCCATCTTTTTCTAGGGCGGCCAATTGGTCTTTTTCTCTTTGGTTTCCAATTGTACACCCTTTTAGTGTCCCTTGTATCTGGCATTCCTAGAACATGCCCATACCATCTTAACTGGTCTCTTTCAATGATACCAAGCACAGATTCTATAGCAAGTGAATTTCTGATTTTGTCATTCCTAATTCTGTCTCTCCTGGTCACGCCATAGATTAATCGCAGTACTCTCATTTCTGTGGCTTGGATTTTGCTTTTAAGTTTTTGTGCCAGGTTTCCCTGCCATATAGTAGGACTGGTCTCAAGATGGTTGTATATATGCAGACTTTCACATCCTTTGGGATTTTCCTTTCTTTTAGATGGAGGTATAATGCCATCAGATTTTTTGTGAACTTGACAATTCTGTTGTTTACCTCTTCTTTCATTAGGTTGTTGGATGAGAGCTTGCTGCCTAGATAGCTGAAGATTTTTTGTTTGCTTGAGGACTTGGGTCTTTTATAATAATGTAACCCTCTCCCATTTGCCTTCTAACTTTTATGTACTCTGTCTTAGTGTAGCTTAATTTTTTAGCCCACCCTGGTTAACTTACTGTCCCACTGGTTCGTGACTGTTTGTAGTCTAGAAATGCTCTCCCCAGTCTGTGCTATGTCGTTAGCATAACCGAACTGTTCTGCTTTGAAATTTTCTCTTTCTATGTTTGTTTTGACTTGGTTGAGATAAAGGATGAGCAGAAGGGGTGAGAGGACACTTCCTTGTCGTACCCCAGTATTGACGGGAAAGTATTTTGTACCTCCCAAGACAGTGCTGCTTCGATTTTGATATGTACTCTTGATTGCCTTGAGATACTATTCTGTTTATTTCGGCGACACAAAATGCGTTCAAACGGATGCCATTTTCACCACTGACAATTGATCCCAATTTCTAGCGTAATTATTAAGATGTTGTATCTTAGTTTTTCTTTGTAAATTTTAATTGGTGATTAAATGTGTGTTCGATAACTATTATAATGCGAGCTTTTGTGTTTTTAGTACATTTTGATGGTAAATGATTAGGTATTAAAATGCCTATTCCAGAAATTCTATTCTAAACCATTAAGATTATGAAGTCATTCAGGCGTAATGAACGGTAACCAACGTCTGGTTGACAACAAAGGGTGCCACCAGGTGTTGTGACAACATAACTGTTGTGCTCTATAGAGTTATAATAAGAATACTACGACTAACTCCATCGCATTCAATGTTTGAAATACGCAGAGCTATATGTGTACTCAACAAGATGGCTGGCATAGATCCAGCCAATCAAAATACGCCTAAGCATCGTTTTCAATGGCGCCCTCAATTTAACCTTGAAAGTTTTGAGTACCAAAATCAAACTTGAGTGTTGTGCTGTTGCACTGTAGCGAGAACTATTTCAATTTTCATTCCTCAGTACTTTCTTTTTAATATCAGATACCACACTTGGCCTGTTTTTGACTATGCTAGTTTAATAATTTAATAATATCATCAACAATGATGATTAATGATTTAATAGTTAGTCAAAGGGCTAATTTATGGTTATTATATGTATACTAAGCCTAAAGGTGGCGCTTTCCTACAGCGGCCATCTTGTTGAGTACACATATATAGCACTCTACTTGTTTAATAGCTCTATGTCTCTACACCACCAAAGCTCTTGCAAAAGTTAAGTCGTGCTGGAAAGGTCTCATCCGAAACCTTACCAAAGCAGCCCAGGCGGAGGAGTCTGAAGACTACTCGGCGTACAGGCAATAAGTCATGTAAGTCAGTAAATGTTTTACCTCCAGCGTTGTGTTTGTGGTACTCAACCAGTTCTTCTATTGTGGGTAAGCAATGTTTTTCTGATATATAATACAAATTGTTTTGGTTCCTCTTTACATGGTAGTGCCTGACAACATCTTCATTACCAACTCTAAGAAATTTAAAAATAAATTACAAAATCACAGGTGAATAAATAGTTTTGCTTTCTTTTTTCCATTTTTATACTAAGACGTTTTTTTTTTTAAAGATTGTCAGAGAACGGTAGAAAAATAATAAAAATAACATTTTGTTTTCTTATTTAGAAAATGGTTTTACCAAAAACATCCAGATGGAGAAATTAAAAATGAAATTTTTTCGGTGAATGTAAAGAGTGTATTGATAGCAATGAAATGGTAAATGCTTTAAATTTACATAATTAGGAAGAAATATACATATCTTATTTTAGGAAATTTCAAGGAAGCAGAAGGCATAATGCAATTTTTTTTTTAACTTTTATTTTTTTTCTGAAATTTCCATTTATTCGTGGTGGCAGGTGTGCTAATTGGCCAAAAATAAAATGTTATTTTTATTCAAAATCATCATTATTGATAGGCGGTGGGTTCACTAAACAAGGTTTAAGAAAGGTCTTGCCTATCCTTGCTAGAAATAAGAAACATTCTAACATGCATTGAACCCAGAACTGCACCATTTGTGGCCAGGACAAGCCGAAAAAGTTACTCCTTGCAAAAAAATCAATTTTTACATAATACAGGGTTGAACAGTAAAATGAAAGTTATAAAATGGTAAAATAATCATTTAGATCCGACATGGTTCATTTTGAAGTTAATGGGAGTTTAAATATACAGCTGTTTAAAGAACAGTATTTGAGAAATCAGCCTTCTAAGTTTACGATTTCGTAGATTTCTCAGGCAGAGACAATCGTCAAATCGTCAAAAAAAATGTTGTTTTAACATAAAAAATGGGGACAATAACAATGAATGATCGTTCGTTCATTAGTTTGTTCATGTAAAGAATACATAATCACCAGAGCTACACAGGTGTTAATGTGGCTTCCTTTAGCGAGTAATGGATTCTAGTTGCTGTTATCAGTTGACTGGAACAGTCGTAGAAGGTTCACCACATGCAGGTTAACAGCATGACCCCCAATGATGTATAGATACATAAAGGTTTGCTTAGTACAATAAAATAAATTTTTAAAATGTTGACATTCCAACATACTTTGGCTATTATCTCTGAAACATGGTCTGTGAGAAGTGACAGGTTTGGCTTTGTCTTTGCCACATTTGAATTGAAGGATAGCACTTCATATCCCCACCCTCACTAAAAACAATATTAACTGACATTGGATTTATTGATGTCACTCACCCTTTAGTTAAGACCGAGAGTGTGTAGAGTTCTTTAGTACTTGAGGGACGGATCGTAAAGCATCCTTCTTTGCTTTCGGACTTAAGCTCGATTTCAGTACGTTGTCGGTTCCATTTGCCATTGTACCAGCTGAAATACAGAAGAAAATCTCACAATGTCCAGAGTTCAAAACTGCATGGTAATCAATCTGTGGGTGCGCTATTTCTGTTTGATGTTTTTGTTCCTTGTAGCGATTGGTACTAAAGGGAATACACTGCACTATTTAGGGCGAGTCAGGTGGTCAAACTGAAAGGCAGGGACGTCGAAAGTGTACACATCTGGCTCAATCGCACTTTAAAAGCACTTTTTGAAAGAGCAGGGCGATACCTTGATGCTATGGTTCATTTCTGCTCAAATTCCTGGTTATTGAACTACAACAAAGAATTTGAATGTTCTTTAAACAAGTAACTGTACATATACTCACTCATATCTTTCCAGACCTGTGGAAAATATTGATTTTTCTTCTACGTAATTACTTGGAATAAAGCCACATTTTCTGCAAAAAATAATCATATTTCAAAATAATAAAGTAATGAAATTATCATAGTAGAAACATTATTAACAAACTTCCATTAGGGGCTACGGCAATTTTGCAATAATTACAAATAAGAAAATTAAATATTTACTTTGACTTTATGTTATGTCCCTGTCACATAGTAGCGAATAGACCTAACGTATGCCGCATGTACGGATACCCTCAATTCTTGACAAAAAAGAAACATTCTGGCGTGAAAGACAAACGGCCAATGAATGAGGAACGAAGCCGATCGTACAACTAGAATCCATTTATCGAATGACAGAGCGTTCGTAGCATTCGACCAACAAATGTTGAGCGTATACAACGAATATCCAGTGAATGTCACGCGTGCTGTGGGCAGTCACATGACGTATCTTGACAAGGTCGACCAATACTTCACAAGTTACCTTGGATAGTGCCAGACCAGTTAAAACTTGCTTCATTATGCCTCCCAAGGTACATATATAAAGCTACCAATCAAGTGGACAGTCATAGCCGCAATCGAGAGGCTTTATCACCTCCAAGCACCCCTGCCCGGACAGACTCACCTAGACCTCCCCTTCACTCATCATGATTGTGAAATGATGAGGAAAGGGGATACTCGCAGCCGCTGTGACGTCAGACTGAAAAACTCTACATGAACTGTAGCTGTACTGTGCACGCACGTTACTATATTGGTTGACTATCGTCAAGCACGTTAGATGGACGCCTTGTGAAAGTTGTTGTAGGTCGGTATACTCTGAGTATTCGTTGGCCATTCATTACCCTTAGTCAGACAAACACTATGTATATATTATGCATTCGCTTTGGCTAAGTTTCAGATGGATTTGACGTATTATTATTTGGACAAATAACGGACGAAGAGAAAACGTAAACCCAATGTGCACCCAGTATGCGAAACGTTCAAACAACGAATGCTCACCGCATACATAGCGTATTTAGCAGAACGCTGTCATACGTTCAAAATTCTGAACATGTCCAAAATTTAAAATCAACCGCAGCGTACCTCTGCGTAACCCTACGAACAGCTAACAAATACAACACATGCCACACGTATTACAAATGTGTCACAAACAAATGTCAACTTACGCGAACGTAAACCTAAATTTTGATAAACGTCGGCATACGTTGGCTCTATTTGCTAAATTGTAACAGGGGCTTTATAATCAAAGAAAAATACAATTCGCCCTCAAATTCAAGACAACCTTTTGGGACATGAAAATTTGGGGTGTTCTGAGGGTTTTGTCTCCAATCAGAGGGTTAGCTTTGTGTAAAAAAAATTGAAAATTGTTAGTTAGTTCTTTAAAAAAGTTGTCTCGAATTAGAGGAGTCTTGGAATCTGGGGTTTTGAATTGGGAGGTACACCATAGCAATATCTAGTGCTTACTTTTACTCTTACTTCAAGTAAGAATAACTTTCTTGCTCAAATCTTTAATATAACATTTTTAGCCCCATTATAGGCTATACATGCACTCACCCATTCTTATTCCTGGCCTTCCACCAATATTCTCTTGAGTCGTCTAATATAACATACTCGTCGCCTTTCACAAGGGCTATGTCCGCTTCTTGCAGGGGATCATAATCAAATTTAGCTATCACAGTCTTCAAAGAACAAAGTCAAATAATTATTTATTAAAAAGCCGTCTAGATGGAAATAAGAAATAATGGCAGTAGGAAAAGTGTCAGTAGGAAGAAATGCCATTAACAAATGAAAAAATCCATTTCAGAATAAGGGGGTTAGTTAAGACATTGACTGGAGCTATCACACACACATTTAATCCTACTCATATTTTAATTATTGGTGTTCATAGAATAATTAGGAAAGCATGACTTACCTAATAAATCACATAATTAGGCCTAGTTAATGCAGTTAAGAAATAAGTGATACTTTCCTAATTATATTATGAAAACCAGTAATTACCATATGAGTAGGATTAAATGGGTGTGTGATAGCTCCAGTCAATGTCTTAACCAATACTCCTATTCTTAAATGGATTATTCTTTTGTTAATGGCAATTATTCCTACTGACACTTTTTCCTACTGGCATTATTTCCTATACTCATCCAAATTTTATAGGACAAAAAAATGTAACATGGATAATTTATGGTCATGATGGCATCACATCATGAACAAATATTGGCGGTAATGGCACATCATGACTACAGTATATATGGCCATACAACTGTTTTTTGTCAAATCAAATTTGATAATCAGAGCTTAAGATGCCAGCTTTATAATGATTATAATATAATACATCTGAAATGATTTATATGGACCACAGACAGCCAATAGCAAATATGAGACATGTTGTGGCAAAATGGCAATAAAACTGTAGCAAAAACAAAAATTGAGATTCAGGTTAATGGTATTTTTAGATACCTGAATATGTAATCGTTAAAATGAGGGGTCATTCACTGGACATTTCAAGCCTAAAGTTATTGGAAAGTGAAAGTACAGACAGCACTCTTACTGTACTAAGAGTCAAAATAAACATGACTTTGAGTAATTGCCTTCGAAATTATTTGCATACATTGTTTAATAGAATTATCAAACTAATGTAATAAATAAACAATTTGTTGACCATTTCCAGAACTAATACTTTGGGACATTAAACTGTTGATCTATAGTGAAAAAAAAATTTTAGGCAAGTTTTTGAGCTCCCATATTTCATAGCTTATTTACTATACAATACCTTAACACTTTCGCCACAAAAAGCCTCATATATATTAGTATCTCACATAAGTTGTAATCCATTTTACTAACATGACCCATGAATTGAAAGGAGAGGAAGTAATTCAGTCAGTAAACCGAGACACTATATTTACACAAGTCCAGTACAAACACAATATGTTGATGAACCTTACATACTGTAGACTACACGCATGCCAGTGTCTTCAATTTCAGTTAAAAACATGCAACCATACATGATTTATTTATATTTTTTTATACAGTTTTAGTATTTTATATATGTTTTTAGTACCTTCAATAGACACAATAAAATCAATTACAATACAATAACAGACAATGCAAATTAATAAAATTTCTTATCAAAAGAGAATCCTTAAAACAAGAAAAAAAAAGGAAGAAAAGTTTTTTATCATACCTTCTGTTTACGTGGTGGATGAGGTACAGGGCGCGGTGAAGTGGCAGGGGCGGGGGCTGGTGCTGAAACAGGACATTGCCTTACTGCGTTTACTATCGGTTCGTTCTGTAAGATGACACATCGTTTGGTCAATCAATATTCATCATACACTATCATCATTAATATTACTGTTATTACTAAAAGTGCAGTTTTGCCCATGCATGGTGACTTTTGAAAATGAAGACTGCTCGGCAATTTTTTTTTTTGCTAGAATGCTGATTAGTGAAAAAACATGTCACATGTCACTTTGATTGGCAATCCATTATAACATGGCATAACATTAAACTTTTATATTACACATTCTATGGTACCATCAATATCATAATAATAGTATATTTATAATAAATTAATTCATAAATCAATCGAATTATAAAATCAAGGACTTTTAACTGTACAGATAAAAGTCCTTGACAAAATTGTCCCTTTGTTCATCATCATCACTAACATTACCATCTAAATTGACACACTTCAATTAAAAAGATTACATCACCCTCTTTGAAGACCACCGCTACGGTATCCCAAATATTCTAGTAACAGCAGATACTGTATTATGACAATTATGGCCAAATCCCTTACGCTTTGTCAAGCTTGTTGTAGTATATGCCCATGTAAAGTCATAATGTGTCTATATATGGTGATGATGTGATGTCATCATGACCATATTTAGGCATGTCACATGTTTTTGTCCAATGAAATTTAATAGTCTGGACAGGGCTTAAAACAGAGACAATATTGTCATTGGGACAACTACTAGTTTAGCCCAGCTGATAGGCTATACAAGTACAGTTATTCCAGATGTAGCCAATACTTCCTATGTTCTAATTTCCTTATGGAGCTTTATGATACATGATGCAGTAGAACCATAAACCTACTGTAGAAGTAATTCAGACCTTCCGAGTTTATGGAAAAAAATGCTGGCCACTTACATAGGAAATTCCACACTACCTCAGCCATACCATGGTTGTGGCTGAGGTGAGAAAACTTTTTGAGAATAATGACTTCTCTAGGTGGCCATAAATGCATATTTAAACACTGTAGATGCAGGGACATTGAGTGAATAAACAAAATTACAATCTTGGCAATTAATTTCTTCATAGTACATTATTTATTTTGCAGTAATTATAGAGTTTTTTCTGCTCTTTTCATATGCATGGGCAATGTAATAAAGAAATGCTACATTTTACAAATACAGTGGGACCATGGGAATATATTTTTTTTTGTGTGACTTTCACAATAAAAATTTGGAACACTTGGCAGGTTTCGTAATGACATAACTAATAATTCATCTGCGCATGCGTCGTCGTGTGGATTCAATGACACAATTTGAACAAATCAATGTTGAGCAGGGAACGTAATAGAGTTGTGCATGAGTGAATAATAATAATAATAATAATTTATTTATTTAAACACGGAAAAACTTGATCACCCAAGGGTGTTTTTCATCAAGGCCGTGCAAGGCCATACGTGGTAAAATATAAAAATACAAAACACATAACAAAAGTATAAATATTAAAGAATTTGATTAAGTAATAAATGTGATTAAAATGTGAAATTAAATAGTATATTTAGTTTAAGATAAATCAAAAACATATACATTAATTAATTTAATATACATACAGTAATTGATTAATTTAATATCAGAAGTTAGATTAGATTAATGATTTCTTTAAATTTATTAATATTTGCTGAATTTCTATCCATTCTAGCGTCACGTCGTCACGCAAGTTGCAAGCTGCATATTACAGTACATTATTTCAATAACTTATCTTTAATGTAATCAAGAATACTTTCTTGTCATCGAACAAAGGCTATGTTCAGACACAACAATTTGCGCGGCACAGCGAACGCCATTATTATCGTGCAATCACTGGCGTACGGTAATCCAGCAACAAACTCCAGATTAGCGTACGCCACTGCATCAATGATTTTGAACTCGGCCAAGATTTGACCAATCACAATATGTAAACAGGAAATAAAACGCTCGATTACGAATATGAATATTTCGTGCAAATAAATACGCTAGCATTCGTTAATCGTTCCAGTCAGGACATCTCGCTTGTTACACCACAGATTAACGTACGCCCGGCGTTAGATTCGACTAGCATATATCTCTAACGTCTGAGCGTAGCCAAATACATGAACAATTAAACTTAATGGAGAAGTAATGTACAGCATAATCTGTAGGAAGGTGTGTCTATGTAATCCTATTTTCCTGGTAGTAGAAGTACTGACTACTTCCTAATGTACAGCCTAATTCTTTATATACAGAACAAACTTTAGCCAGACACTTTTTTATATATTTTTATGAGTCACCCATTTTTACACGAGTACAAACAGTGGCATAATGAAAAATCATGTTTTTTAGGGCTCTACTACCCTGAAGGATGGGTCCAAGCAGGAGAGCACAAGGGGGATAGGGTTACTCCCGCTTCACTGTTTTTTACGTTTAAGGGAGTATTTTTGATGTTTTATACTCCTTAAAAGGCTCCACTTGGCCGATTCTGGAGTAAAATGAAAATTGCTAATGAATTTCCGTACGTACGTAGGTTCAATGTGCTAAAGGCTAAAAAACAATCATTTTTTCTAAATATTCATTACTAGCAGGCAACTGGTTCGTGAAACAAGAAGAATGTGTCTTGCCTTCTGCAGTTTTTTATCACCATAGGGATCAATGGAAAATAAGTAGCTATTTATTAGAATAAAAAGCCATCTTCTTCCTAGCTATTACAGTAACTAAAACTAAAGAAGTAAAACTAAGAAGTAGATTGAAGTTTGATGCTGCCTGCCATACAGGAAGATACAGTAAATACTATTACCATGGAGGATAAACTAATTCCTATGTGGTATTACACAATAACATTTGGAAATGAAAATTTGACAGATATTAAGACTGATATCCTATATGATTATGTTTTTCCCTACCACTACAAGTACAGGAACAACTTCCACAAAGGAAAACAAACTACAAGGGAAACGAAAGGGACTTTCCCATTTACTTAAGACATGGGAGTCACCTATGGAATTCAAACAGAATGACTTTCCTTCCCTCAAAATACTTTATAAGCATAACTGCATATTTGAGCGATTTAATGATGAACAAACATATTAAATCCCAATGGAGACAGTGTGCTCATCTCACCACAAAATGAGATGCATCGTTGATGAGGTCATCTTGAAAATAGTTCAAAATAGGTCAAAGTCAAAATTTTTATCAAATTTCAATTTTACGACAGTCTGCATTTAACTATAACAGTGTTTTCCAGAAATTATCAAATTGCTAAATTGGGTATCATGTGTTTCGGTTGACCCCCGCCGACCCAGTGCAGACAGGAGTCAGACCAGCAGTGGGTCGGCAAATGCACGTCTTACCAGGAGCCTTGCACACGGTGCGATGAATTAAACACCAAACGTAAGTCCAGGCACACAATTCAGCAGTTTTTTTCTTTCCCGCTTGAGTTGATTTGTTCCCAATACTTTGGAGAAAGATTTTAATATATTATGTGAAATGAGGTGCTTTTCTCTACATTGCAAAACGTGTTTAGGCCCTTTTTTTGAAGCATGGTCATACACATGGGTATCCACATCTAAATTCCCCTCCTCCCCCTGTGAGTTCAGACCCCCTACTATTAGTAGCATATCCAGTAGTCTTGAAATGGAGATGGGGGCACGAAGGTGAAGTGTTTGATGATTAAGTAAGGGGTGCTACAGTAGCTCGCAAAATAAGGTGATTTTTAACTATTTGAGAGTGATTTTTTTGCTTTGAACATTTTCAATGGAAGATGGGAAGGGGAAGACTAGGAAACCTATATATGCTAAACCTAATTTTTTATATTACTAAAGAGACTCATTCTGTGGTGAGAAAAAAAAAACATTATATTTATTTATCCGAGTTAATGGAGTTGTTTCTCCTTACCAAAATCACCATCTTTAAATGACTTATCTGTATTAAAGCAGTCTGGGATATTTCAGCCCACGACCCAGTATTAGCAATTTGAGGTATATGAGAAGGAAATAGAGAAGATCATAATGTAAACCCATTAAACACAACTAAATTAAACATACATTTCTAATTCTTAATGTTAATCCACTATACAATTTCTTTCACATATTTATAGGTACAGCAAATAAAAAAAAAAATAAAATATATTTCAATTAAAAAAATGAATTACAATATTTCTAAATTGGTTTGATAACTGTGGTAATGAAAAGGAATTAAAAGCATTTGAGGAAATGGTTTACTTTAATATTTATGCATCACAGTGAGTAAACAATAGCACTTCCTATAACAATGCAGGATTATGGAAATACTATACTGAATGTCAGTTCAGATAGTATAATACGTTCTTCTTGGAATAGTTAATTCCTACATGCTAACATCATAAAGGAAATTAATATCAGTAGGCTCTAGTTGCTTGTTTATTTGGAAATAACTTATGTTTGTTAGTAATGATCCAGCTATATTGTCAACAGTATTGTGTAATGTGTGGTTTTTATTGTTTTGTGATATTGTTATTATAAGACATGTCTGTTTTGTCTGTACTGTACATTACTTTTGGTTCTAATAGAGGAAATGCTCTGACACTGGCAGGCAGTTAATCATTGATTGAAAATTTCTTTAACTATGTAATTATACTATTATCATAATGATATAAAAGTCTCCATCTCTCTACATCTAAATTGTCATTTTCCTTATCTTCACCAATGTATTCATTATTCTTTGTTCATCTCTATGTTTTTATTGGTGTAAGAAAAATGTGATTAAATTTTGAAATAAAAGTCAAAGGTCAAGGTCATAAAAAGTTATATGTTGGCCTTCAACTTATATAATTTTGGTATTACAGTGCATGTTTTTTAGCAAGATTATACAATTAAACTAAAATGGATCATCTTAAAATTTAGTGAAATGGTACTGTACATATTGGTGTAAGAAAAATGTGATTAAATTTTTAGATAAAAGGTCAAAGTCACAAAAAGTTACATGTTTAAGCTGGAGGTATGCCAATGTAGTGCACTAGTATATTTATTTGAACAGTAATTTAACAACCTGAAGTAAAATCTTTGGAAAATGTCAAAAATTGCTCATTATTAAAAGGATGCAATGAGTTTCAATGACTCAAATTGAAACGACTTAGCTTTCACTGAACTACAACCTCTAGGGGTCATTCACAATATCAACATTTTCACAAGTGTCAAACGGTACTCTTTTTCGATACCCTCTCCCTCCCCACTGAATATGTACTTAAAAAAACATTGATTTTCCAAAACCATTTTCCATTTTTAAGAAGTCAACTGAAACACTGTACTTGATTACATAAAAATGTATAATATAGCTATAGTTGCATTTAAATTATTGGTCATAAAAATCTACTATATTAAGGCTACGTTCAGACTTGAAGGTAAGCCAGGCTTGAGTTAAGCCCGGCTTAACTTTGCCGGGCGTTCAGACTAGCGGGTTTAGCCAGACGAGAACTTGTATAATAATGAAACGTAACCAGGAAACATGCTTCAAAACATTGCTCGCGAAACGTACGCTCACTCACAGCGTACGTAATTGAATGCTGATTGGTCATTTCGTCACCCGAAGTCAATGCAAGACCCCCCCAACAACGATGAAAGCCCGGCTTAGGAAAGTTAAACACGGTGGCGCTCCAGGCGCGCTCCAGGCCTAGTTACTATAGGAACACAGCCCGGCTTGAGATAAGCCACCTAGTTCAGACAAACCCGGTGAGTTGAGCCATGTTTATCCACCTAGTCTGAACTAGGCCTAAATATTGCATGATATTTTGAATGAACATTTTCATGCATAAGTAGAAGTATGTCTACCCTCTCCCGATAGTGCGCTGTTTGTACACTTGTGAAAAAGTTGATAAATGTGGACGAGCCAAGAATGGTATAATAGTATATTATTATATTATTCCATAATAAAATATGTTCTCATTCAAATTTTAAATTGTAAGTGAATAAATTAAATACCAAGTATATACATTAAACATGAATTATATAGTTTATGTTTTTCAGCTCAACAATGAAAGATAAACCTAAAGCAATGGTCCACAAACTTTTGGCTGCAGCCAACTGTCAGGTAACAAAACAGTATTTTTATTTTATTTTATTTATTTATTTTTTTTGGGGGGGGGGGAGGAGTCTATATGGTCCAGGAGAAAAAACGTTCGCTTATGTAGAACTGGTTCATTGATATATAGTAATTATGCAGTATACTGTATACACAAAATGTAGACACTAATAGAACAGATAATGATCTCGAAATTATTGTATATCGTATAAGAACATGGATGTAATTTTCATGATCTGAACTTCTCGCCACTTGGTCCCTGGTGCTGCTGGGCCAAGGCTTGAAACTTAGATCTCAAATAAGCTTGAAAGTGTGAAGCAAGAAATTTGCAGAACGCTAACCTTAAGGTAAACTTCCTTTTTCCGTTTCTCTTCAATAATACATTATTATGAAGAGGAACTGAAGTACATCCAATAGGCCTACGCTACCACTACAAATTTCAATAGGCCTAGATGATAAATGTAGTGCTATTGTTTTCTGGGTCATTTGTCATCCAGGGTTGGGCCCAACCATAAACATTTGAATTTCTTACTTTGCAATTACAAGTTACTGTACAGCAGTACACATAAAAGTAATCTGCGTATTAAGACCACCCGAGTTTGAGAAGATTTTTGTATGTTGACGTTTAAGACAACCCTATGGCCGTATTCCTGGTCGTTCTTCGTTAAACCACGCCCACCTGCACAGTGGTAATCCTACTTGACGAAGACGACCGGTCAAATAGAAAACTGGTAAATACTCGACAAAAGAAAATGGCTGCATAGTTACCGTGATACACGCTGCGTAATCAAGGTTGCTTCATATTGTGGCAGTATAGGTTTTTCGTAAAAAAAATGTTTTCATTCAGTTTTTGAATTCTGTTAGCCTACAATTATTTTTGGACTTCAATGTAGGTAAATATATGGTCTTGATACTGCATCTAGTTGGCTAAAAATGGAGCCAAATCTAGGGCTAATTTTCCAAATAATACGCTACCATTATAATTTTATGGGCTTTTAAATGTTCATTAAAATTTTTTTTTCTTGCACTTAAAATTGTGTTCATTCATATAGTAAGTAGCTTCATATCATTTAAGTAGCAAATTTGCACTAAATAAAAATAAAATAAAAAAAATAAAAAATGTGTATGTGCTGCACGTACAAGACGACCCCTTGTTTTTTTTATCATAATTTCCTATTTTATGCTTCGTCTTTACACAATAATACTTAAACAGTATTAACAGTTTTGCATATCAGTGTACTGCATAGCAGTCCCAGACGCAATCGGTAAGGCTCCCCAATTCAACCGACCAATCATTACCAAAAGCTGTTGGCGATAGGTGTAACAGTTGTTATGGAAACCAAGCTGGAAATAAAAGGCATTTAAAAAAAAAATACTTAAACAGCCTTATTACCTGTAATCTACTGAAAATTACCCCTGCTCCCTACCAGTTATGAATCTCTAGATATCAATAGTACAGGTCTCCATATAATTAAAGACTTCTCTTTTGTGGTCCAAAAAATTAACAATGTTTTTTATCTTTATTAATCTAAAAACTACTTAAGACCATGGAAACACCAGTCCCAAAAGTGGTCTCTAATTGACCTATACTATAGCTGCCTGTCTTTGTGATGTCATGCCATCACTACCTTCTTGACTGATTTTGAATTGCTGTGGTTATTATATATATTTATTAAAATTCCCTTGACTAAAAGTTAAAACAAAAAACACTTCACAAAAATATCATATAAAACAATGGAAAAGGTGAAATACATCAATCAGAATTATTGCAGATAGCAACCTATAAATAAATAATAAATTGAGTGCTCAGACAAACACCAAGTCAACCCAATGTTTATTTTGTGCTTAGTGTGGTGTGTACAGAGGCCAAATGTGGTTTGGCACTAAGACTAGCAATAAATCACGATGGTAATATATTTTTGCGGTATTTCTCAATATAACAATGCTATATCATGTGGTTTTATTATGTTATGCAATAACTTAAAAAAAAATAATGTATCCTTTTGAGAAAGTATCATTTTGCCTCACTAATCAGTTGGTACGTTAGACAAGTAAAGTATCCAAATAGTAACCCAAGTATTTCCCCTCACTTTGTAAATGGATATACTACCTTTAAATTTACAATCAAACAGGACTAGGTACATAGGAAGCACACATAAAATATTACTTAGCTTTTTAATTTCACTAAGTGCCATCAGCTCTATATTGTTTAATAAAATTCAATTGACTGACTACAATTTTTTGAAATAAAAAAAACAAAAAAACAGGAATCTGTGTATGCAGATAATATTTTGAACACTACGGGTTTTAATAAATATAAAAAAAATGTTCATAGTAGAAATTGTGCACTTTTGGGGGGAGAAAAAAAAGTCGGCCTGGAAAGGATCTGGCCACCTTACCACACAAAATCGATGGGCTAACAGCTCATTCCCTCCCCTACTGTACATTCAATATTTATGTACCTTTACTATAACTTAGAGGCTTTGTCAAGAAAATCTATATTATTATCATATTTGGATATAAATTACTATAACTTACATCATCGTGTTTGAATGAGTTCTTGCATCCTGGGGCTCCTTGGTGTGTTTGTTCACAGCAGGTCCATTTGGACGCCCAAGTTCCGCTGTGATAACGATCTAACAGACATTCATTACGTCGACAGACTAACATGAATAAACACAAAATATCAATGAAAGTATAAAGAATAATATAAATATTTAAGTACAAGTCTCCCTTCAATCACTTTTGGAACCAGTGTTCCAATGGTCGTTAGCAGCTTTGGTCTCTAATTAAAATAATAAAGATAAAAGACAGTTGTTCATTAGGGGCCACAGAAAAGTTTAATTGGAGATGGTCTTTAATTAGAGGGAGACCTCTTGTATACATATATACAATCACAAAAAAGCATATTTACATACTAATGAAAAGTAGGAACAAATATAAAAAAATATCATTTTCTGTAAGAATATCAATATGAAAAGTATATGAACAAACTCCTTCCTTCAACAAGACTAATAGAATGAACAAAAAATACTTGTAGCAATAAAAAATTTATGAACAAACATAAAAAAAATAACATGTTTCTATAAGAATATGAATATACATATATAAAAATGATATGTTTCTGCTGTGGTAGCGATATAACGCACATTCATTCCATCAACAGACGGACAAAGAGCAAATACAAAATATTAATGACATAATATATTTCTATAAGAATATTAATATATTATAAAAACTATATGAATGGACATATATAACAATAACAACAATAACAATAATAACAACAACAACATAAGATCATAATAGTACTTTGTTATGAAGATTGGAGCGCTTTTTGCATTTTTTTTTGTTGTATTTTTTACTATACTGGAGAAGAAATAGATTTACAGTAACAGAAGAAAACCGGAAAATGAGAAAAAAAATAAAACAACTCAGATGAACTAAACCATAAAATCTCCCTCCAATCCTCCTTCCCACAAACCACAGCAGAGATTTCAATCTGGGACCCTGACAGAGGTTCTGGTGGCCCCTTGGTTTGGAATGCTTTAGAATTATTGAACCCCTTTTCGGCAAATTTCTGGCCACCACTGATAATAATCATTGTGTGTACAGTATTTTTGAATTCTCCTCTTCTTTTGTGTTTTATGTGACTTGAGGCTCTAAATAAATTTATTCAATTGGTCTTACGTTTTTGAAGTTGTGCAATCCAATCTGCGCGTTCCTCCTCTGAACTTGTAAAGAAATATAGCTTGTAATCTTCATGACATATCTATAAATAAAAAAAATTAATATTATACAGAATACGGAACTTGTATTGATCCTGGATTGGATTTCTTCAGCGTGACACACACCAAGAATAAAACACAAAAGTCTTACAAACCAGTGGGATCGTTAAAGCCGGGTACTCACTTCGCAAGACGGTCGTCGGCCAACGTTATTATATGATGAATGCAACGCGACGACAGTAGACAGCGTTACATCGTCTAGCGCTTACAGCGAGCGGAGTTGGATTTGTTGTGCGACGGTCGTAGGACGCAGTAAGTGCCCGGCATTACATACACATGAGCATACGCAGGTCAAACCGCCCGCGGCTTAAACGTCTCATCCGAAAGACAGTGTACTTTAGAAACTTGCATTTCAGCCCTCCAGGTGAAACACAAGCAAAACCAAGAAATCTCCACAGTTAGCGCACACAGGGGCTACCACCAGTTTAACCAGCTAAGAAAGCTGCTCTTAACAATATTAACATACATTAAATATGGTATCTGATACTCAATGTATACAAAAAAACAACAAAACATTAAGTAAAAGATTAAAAAAAAAGGCATATGGTTTTTAAAAAAGGTGTAGTTACTGTAAACATTCTTTACTAAAACATAAGTTAATAGTTGAAAGGTATTTATAAACTAATGAATAATAATGACATTGGTAAAAAAAATAACATTTACAATCGCAGTAAATAAAGAATAAAAATATATAATAAATACACAGTTTGCTATTTAACAATCTTTGAACAAGAGACAGCGAGATAGGAAATCCCCAAAAGTGAACTACAATGAACGTAAATAGCAGAAGAATGAGCTCTTCGCGTAGTTTGCATTAAATTTGATGGAACATCTGCCCTCTCTAGAATGGAGGAAAATTATTTGATGAAGTGGAGAAACTAATGAAAACAAATGAACCAGAGAGTTATCCAACCAATCAAACCAAAGAGTATATGATCGAATCAATGATCTCTACTTTAATAAATCCGAGATCAAATGTGTAGCGCCGCCACTCGGGTGGAGGAAAATTGCTCTCATGGACGCCCTCATGAGGCATTCTACTATATCGTGAACTGCTCTATCTTTTGCTATTTATTATCTTTGCTATAAATTACGGTCATTATCAAATGCATACAATAACATTTTGATAAGGTAAAACATTTCAAAAGTTTGAAAATAAGTTCTGATGTATTTTTTTTTGTTTACTTAGTGAAAGTATATTTATCCTGTTATTGGAATATACTGTATGATGTTGGATAAAAAAAAAATAAATATTTAAAAATTTATTTCCTATATGCCTGATACTAAAATTATAAAAATTAATATTAAACTATTCTTACCTGAACTCCATATGGTTTATTGAATGCTTGACTATCAACTTCTTGTATTACTTTGACATTTTTTAGGTCCACGCTCCCCTTCTTTTGACCTTTGACCTGAAAAAAGTAGAAAGTCTCTGCCTATTGTTCAAAAAACGATTATTCATTATTTTATTTATTTAAGATACTATTTTGATAGCATAGCAAACACATTGGTAGAAATAAGTAATATTAAACACCAAAATATGGGCATATCACATTTATTTGTCACATTAATTATGATAGTATGTACAGAGATAGTAATCTCATGGTATCATTATCATTTATGTCCATATAAGGATATGATATAGATGTGATATCATAATGCCAAATTGAAAATATTACACAAACTTGTTGCATAAAATTTCATATAGGTAGTTTAGATAGAGGTAACCTTTCTGACATGATTTCCATACTCCTGACATACAGTATCTGACTGATTTAAACTAAGCCAAAATGGAGGAATATGGTAATTTCCATATTTTTGCTATTTTGGCTGATGCAGATCAGATTCTGTGATATCAGTACAGCAACCTCAATAGAAAAACCTCAATAAAAAAAATAGCTTTCTTGTTATTTTACAATGAAAAACATATTGATTTTACTTGGATAATGTTTTTAATACTATAAAGTGTTAATATAAAATCACTTTAACTTACCATATTGGCATTGGAACCTTCATAATAACTTAGAGATGTGGGTGTTAATGAAAAAATTCTCTTTTTATAATTTATCGGCGCAAATCCTCTCTTATTTTGTGACCGCTTTAGCATCAGTCCAGTCAACAATTCGTTATCTCCCATGTTTTTAATATCTCCAGATAAACACTTGAACGTCTATTAAAATTAATGTTCCAACAGGGAAATATATTTTTATTTCGGTCAGAGCCCTGTGTATAATTCTACACTCCAAGACATCTGGAAAAAGGGAAAAGAAAGATTTTAATATTATATTCCATGGTATACTTCTTCAACAGGATGTACCATATACTGTATATTACACATGTAGTTCTGATATAGTTGTTTCCAGAGGATGTGGATTTTCCAGTTCACTGAATTCCATATACAAGAATCACTGCTGTAGCATCCTGGTCTAGCAATCCTGTGATAGGACGATGCATGTGATGTACACTACAGTACAGTAATTATAATTTCTATTTTAGATTGTGATGAAACAAGAAGAGTACAGGTCACAGGTCATGCATGCTAAATGCCAGACAATCTTACAATATCCTAGTAGGCAAATTAAATGGACTTTTCCAGAATGTCAATCAAATTTAACAACTGATAAATCAGAACAGTGCATGTCCAAACGCTTGCATGTGTGTGTGTATGCTTTTAAACTGTCATTTTGTTACCATTTTTTTTTACCATATTTTTGTCACTGTTACCACGATACACGCTGCGTAATTAAGGTTGCTTCGAATTGTGGCAGTATGGGTTTTTCGTAAAAAAATGTTTTCATCCAGTTTTTGAATTCTGTTAGCCCACAATTATTTTTTGACTTCATGCAGGTAAATATTACAATTTTTACTTTCTGAAATTTAGTCTAAATCATATTAATGCAAATGTTGTTGCTAAACTGACCAATCGGCCATGTTGGTTTTGGTCACCTGGATAACTTAACGCTGATTAACGCACTCTGGTTACGTTAATTTTCAATGTCAACGAAGTCTATTTTACGAACTAGATGAATGAAAATAATACTAAACGAAAAATTTGATTAAAAAAGAAATGATCCAGTCGAATAAGCCCACTGTGTTATTTTATTTCTTGTAAGGCGAGACTCTTTTTATAATGCACCTTGTTTAGCAAACCCACTGCCTGTGAATGATTTCGAATTAAAGTATAATTATATTTTTGGGCAATTAAGTTTTCAAATTTTTACTACACCCGCCACTGCCTTGAAATCGCCAAAAATAAGATATACGTTAGGCCTATAATATTTCTTCCTTATATAAATTCTAAAGCATTTAACCATCCCATACTACACTGTTTACATTCACCAATAAAATTATTAAATTTCAAATTATTAAATTTTTTTAAATTTTTTTTTTTATTTATTTATTTTTAAAAAATTTTCATTTTCATTTTTTCCTCAGTCTGGAAGTTTTTGACAAAAATATTTCCTAAATAAGAAATCAAAATTTTATGTTTATTATTTTCCGCGATCCTCTGACAATCTTTCACAAAATAAGTTCGCAAAACAAGACATAAAAATATCTCGCCTAAATGTACAATATTTACTGAATTAATTCAACTTAATTCAACTGTTTTTTTAAGGACTTTTTTAGTCACTTGCATTGGATCAATGATTTTGCAAAAATTAGTAACCACTAACCATGGGTTAGGCTAAAACCTGATGAGCTTTCAATAGCTCCCCCTTCCCCCACCCCCAAACACTCCTCTAGATAAGCCACATATATTTGTTGATATGTTGTACGGTAACTGATTTTTCTAAAACACAAAAAAGCAAAAAAAAACTTGGAATGTTTAATTTTTGAATATTAAAAAACTGGGGTTTGAAAAAGGTGGAAAAGGTGGTTACTCCTCTTTTCCCCCAGGTTTTATATATTGTAACACAATTGGTACAGTCTATATTGCTTAATTATACCCTTGTATAAAATGGATTAACCCAACTACTGCTGATTGGCCCTTGACTGTATGTTAATTAGAAAAGTTGTAAAAGTATTTGGGTAGAGGAAAATTAGGGGAGATCGATTGGCGTCTAAACTCTGACCAGATGTGTCCATGTGCACTTTGTTCTGTTACCTAATTAAAACTGTACCTGTAATAATTTGTACATTGCTTTGGTAACTTTATTTCTTATTGAAATTAAAGAGTTATTCAACGGAATATCACCGTCGCCGAACCACACACTTGATCGAGGCCAAGAAACGTTAAAATATATATTCAGAAATCAGTATATCATTCCTAACCATTCCAGAGTTTTTCGTCAAATATGCTTTTTGTATCTTCGAAAAATCAGTTGCTTTTCCTCCAGAGCCTGATTTAATTTACATGGGCCTTTCATTGAATTAACACCATGCTTTTCATGATGGTACCCATCACCAATACAGTAGGTCCCTAGTCCTATATAATATTTCATTGGGTTCAACAGGTAACTTCACATTTGCTGTATCCCACTTTACAACAATGACATTTCCATGCAGTAACCACATGTCTATTATTGTTAGAAGCAGTCTGGCGCAGCGGGAACGGTTTGGTTTCCCAACCTCGAGGTCGGGGTTTCAATCCCTCGCTGTGCATTTCGCTTGTGTTCTTGAGCATAGCACTTTGGCTGCATTGCTTCTTTCCATCCTGGAGTAGTAATCAGTACCTGGTAGGATTGCCATCAGGTTGAATAGATCAAGGAAATCTGATACACAGGTGAAAGTAAAAAAGCATATCTCAAGCCCGACCGACCCAAAAAGTACGAAATTGAGGTTCGGCATTTTAGTTTGTGTTTTTTTTCACAACGAAAAAAATATTTTTTTTTCTAATGAGCTAAAAAGGTTGGAATAAGATTATCTTCTTTTCCACCAACCTACACATCTTTTTGATCTTCGCAAATTGTGGCCAACACAAGAATTTTTTTTTTTTTGGCCTATTACCTAGGTACAATTGTAAATTAAATGCTGTACAATATAGATTACCATATAAACAAACAGTACTTTGAAGACACGTTGATATACCAAGCATTTGTGTACACAGTATTTCAGTGTATTATTACAATAGACTGGTACAATACTGTTTCTGCATGGCTCATCATATTATTTATCATAATTATTTCATGTATATTTCACGAATCTATTTATAAATGACAAATGAAATGAAAGTCAACGATTTAGGTTGTTGATCATGATGAATGCCTGCATTATAATAATATACTGCTCAAAGGTTAATATAATCGCATATTACCTGTAGGTGCTTGGCTTCTATTCTTTACTACCTACTATAGTATTTGAAGGGTGAATGAACTTGCATGGTATTCCTATAAGTTTATTGCTACAAACACCATCTATATTTTGGCATTGACCGAGGACGATTGAATAAACGGTATTTCTATAAAATGCGATCAGTTGTTAGGTCTGTTCAGTAGTCCTGTCCATTACATGCAGCAATGCATAAAATATAAACTACAGGTATAGTTTCGTAGTTATGATCATCAGCTTTATTCAGGAATATTCTGCTGACTGTCTTCATAATAATTCCGATGAACAGTTAATGAAATGGAATAGACTTATTTCTACCAATGGTCACAAAACCCTCGACCATTGTGAATACCACTGATTAATCTCAAATAAGATAGTATAATACATTGGAGTATGTATTATACTATCTTAATTTTAGTAACCAGTCTCCAAATTCCATACAGTAAGGAATTCAACAAAAAACACAATTTATAACCAAAAAAAGCATCGTTTTTTTTTTCTTTTTTTTTTTTTTAATGAGTGGCGCTATAATTTGGTTGCTAAAGTAACATGCTTGCCTTGTATTAGTTCAATTCCCATCAAGGCCAGATTATTTTGAATGACAAAACACAACTGTAAAAGCTCATAGTGAGACTATACTGTAGTTTATGTATTATGACCTGCTTTTTGTTTATACGACAAAAAACAACAGTTTTTTTTCCCCTTTTTTTTAATGAGTGCAGCTATAATTTGGTGGTTAAACTTTAACATGCTTGCCTTGCATTAGTTCAACTCCCAAAGCTCATAATGAAACTATACTGCAGTTTACGGTATATGTAAGGCCAAATAAAAAAAAATACTATTTTCTTGTCCCCTCGCGTATCCATTTTCTCTGCCAAAACATTTTTTTTTTTCATTTCCTTTATTTTACAAAATGTATGAAAAACTGGCTAACTCGCATCAGTAAAATTCCTCTCGCGATCCTTCGTGGTTGAGAATATATATTTTATGTAATATTATTTGCTTTCAATATGTCTACTTGGTAAAAGTAAGAAAGTAGTAGATATTTCTCGTCGGCCATCTTGGATTTCCCACCTCGGAGTAAAAAAAAAAGTGCCCTCATTCTCATTTTTTTTAAATATAAGAGAATCTACTTTTTTTTTTTACTTGGCCTAACATTTAACTTGTGTTTGTATTGTTTATAAGCATCTTTCAACCCTGTAATTGGCAATCTTCCTCGTTGTTATAAAAGGCATTTTTCATTTTGACTACGCGGCCAGTCTACTACGAACTAATGGACCGTGACGGCAACGCCAAGACACTGTTCGCGTACTACACCAAGATCTGTTTTCATTTTTTAAAGGCCAACTCAGACAGCGTCGGCCAACGCAGCCCGACCCGATTTGTTGTCGTGTCGGGTCTGTGTGAGATAAACGCAGAAGCGATGATGTGCGTCGGAGGCAGTCGCGTAGTAGAATATTAAACATGTTTCTCACGACGGCTTAAGACTGTCCCCGACGATAAATCGGGTCGGGCTGCGTCTGAGTTGGCCTTTAGGCAACTACGACGACGCAGCACACGTACGTAGGCCTACGGAGGGGAGTTAGTCGACCATGGTTTTAATACCAGAGAACAATGTTCTCTTGTTTTATATTTGAAAAATGAAATGTTAAAAAAAAAACTTTAGTCAAATACTGTATACAAAATAAAAAGTTTTGAGTGATGTTTCACTGTTGGCTAGGATCTACCTGGCTAGGCCTAGCCTAGGTGTCAAAAGAGTCGTTAACCGGGAGAAGAGGGGTGTCAGGCCTGCTCCGGCAATTTGCCAAATGCAACGATGATGTACAAATAAATAACAATTTTAAACAGAGGTATTTATATAGCAAGGCTTGATCCACGATATCAACGGCGGATGCCCTAACTAGCGGCACCAGATAATGTGTTTTCTCTTACCCAAAATCACCCTGACAAGGCTAGGCTAGCCTAGGCCTAAGCCTAAGGCCCTTTTTTCACTAGATCCCCTGATTTACCTAATTTTATGGTGACTATTCATTCCTCATTTATTGCATGTGTATAAATAGGCCTTCATAAAACATTTAATTACTCACTTGTTTTAATAATTAATTCATTATTAAACGAACAATGCTCGATCGCAGATGCGATGAAAATTGCAACCCCTAACAAAAAAGTTACCAGCAGTTTGCCAAACAATCCGGTGATCTGATTGGTCAATATTAGGGTAGTCGCCACCACGCCAAATTCAGAAATTGGGGTTATCGCGGAAGCTGTCACAACGCCGATTTAGCCAGTAAGGTTTGTGAGCATGCGCAGATGTCCGTTACGCTCTATTAGTTCGTAGTAGACTGGCCGCGTAGTCAAAACGAAAAATGCCTAATGTAATCTAAATGTTTAGGCCAGGTCAAACCATACCTCGTAACTAAGAATATTGCTGAGTACTAATGGCCTTAAAAGCTGAAATACATCCTAAAACCGGTTTTACACTATGCAAATATATTCACGCGAATTGAAAGAGTCGGTTCATGAGCACGCACATTCACATTTCTATCAGAGTTTCTTGCTTCAGCGAAATCTAATAGTTCAAACTGTTTTTACTTTTTGTGAAGCAAGAAAATGAAAAAAAAAAAAAGGAAGGGAAAAAATGCACAACCAATCAGAGCTATGGAAGCGAACATACGCTTTCGATTCACAGGAATAAATTCGGCTAGTGTAAAAAAACTAGCTTCAGAAATACTTTATTGGGTGACCTACATGTAGGGATCATAATACAATAAGATAACAAAGGAACTTAACAAGGTTGCAGGGTATTATTTTCATTATAAACATAAGGCGACCTCTGCCTTCCAACTTGTCTGAGAAAGACTTATTTCCAGTGTGGTCCTTCTGGTAGTGATTTGGCAGTACAGTGGGAGACAATGCACTACTCTTTTCCAAAGATTGTACAGCGTTCTTTAACCTGCACATGGGTCATAATGCACACAGAACCAACAGCTTAAAAATCTTATTCGATAAACGGTGCGCTACGATTCTGCAGCTAATGTGTGTTGTGGCTATGCATGGGCAGCAGGCTGCTTTCTTTAACCATTTTTAAATAATCTGTATCAGTGTACTAGTACTACTACCGCACTGTATAGTCTAAGAAAGCATTCTTTGCAATTTCCATGAAGCTTCTTTTATTAATTGCTATTTTAGTAGTTCAAGTTTTATTCAAAAATATTTTCCTTTCCTTAAACCTTTCAGATTGTGATTGATCTAATCATTAAAATAAAGTGCAGTGAGTGGCTATTGGTACAGTAGTCTTAAAACAATTCCCAATTCTGATTGGATGTTAATTGTGTGTATGGTTGGGATTCAGAGAGCAGCTTAGCTCAGTTGGCTAAACTGGGTGGCCACCATGTGTGCGCTGAACCGTGGAAAACTTTTGGTCCCCGATTCAATTTAATCACTCGCTACTCTCCATGTGTTTCAGCTGGAGAGCTGAAATGCAAGTTTCAATAGTGGACTTCAATATTGGATGAGGCATTTAAAAATGAACATAAAATGGATTTCAGAATTCATAGGTAAACCAAGTTTATTTGAAGGTACTGTATAAATCAAATACAAAAACGTTACAGTAAAAGATGGTATTTAATACAATATTTTATCTTTTAAAACGCCTTAAAAATATATCGACATATATAAAATATATCGACAAGCCAGAAGAATACTACTGCCAACATTACGATTCCGTATATACCTGTACACGGTTGTCAGCTAGGGCGGGTAGGTGGTACTGTACTGTATTATAGTAAGCGTTGGATCTGAACTAGAGGCTAGGCATACTCTATAAAACGTTCATGTCCTACTCTATAAAACGTTCATGTCCTACTACTATACCTAGGCTTAGAATTGATTTTGATAATTAAAAACCTATCATTCTAACCCATTCGTATTAAATGTAAATGGTGAGGTAGACCGGGCCTAGACGATAAAATTTCTGCTGCAATTCAGCAACGCAAGGGGGAAAGCTTCTTCTTTTCATGGTTCCACGCTAGCTACTATTATGGGCTCATTTCAAAACAATCTTTTAGCTTTTTGTTCTCCACTTTTACAGATGATATCAAAGTCCATATTTGCATTGGCAATATCTCATCATGTAGGCCCGAGTGAAAAAAACATAGCAAGAAACAAGTAGTAATGTACAGTAGAATGCAGTGTGTGGACCTCGATAGTGTACCTTGCTGATGACGCATGTCACATACACTGCAAACGCTCTTCAGATTTACGAAGTTTGCCAAGTTTGTGTCTATATCAGAAAATGTTGGGGATTTTTTGAAGTTTTAAATTATTTTAAACTCAATTTACTGTATGATCGCTTGTATGCTTAAATTTTCATTGAAAAAAAATCATTATACATTATTATTAATATGAAATTTTTAAATGGAATACTTTATATTTTAAAAAAGTTTTCGCCAGAAAACACCACATGACAGCTCCAGCCCCCGCGGGCGCCACCCATGATGGCTAATCTTTGGTTCAATTAACCTTGATTACGACATGAAAGTTCAAAAAGATGGTACCATGTAATGATGCCCCATTTTGTTGACGGATGTTTCATGGGAAAATTCAGATTCAAATTATAAGACTGGCCTTTAATTGTTTCAAAATTTAAGAATTGGTTGGACACTCTGGCAATTTCTTACTTGATTGCAAAGCAGCAAAATAGTGTGTACAGCTCATCGTGATAGCAAGCACGGAAACGCTGTATCAACCTCTATAAATTTATAAAGGTATCTTTTTTGTTGAAAAATGTACTTTGTGAGTTTTATAATTATGTGTTATGACTGTGAGAAGAACATTGATGTAAAAAAATTAAGAATTAAAAGTTAGGTGCCAAAGTGCATTAGCGCCGCTGAAGGCTCTCCTTGGCTAAATTAAAGTAACCAGTGAGTGTTAGTCTGACCACTTTCTACACATAGGCTATCAGTCCGTAAGAGATGAGAACTTAACTTGTTCACTGAATGCCTCCTTCTGTAACAACATGACAGCTCTCCTCTGTACTGTATGTAGGCCAAGGCTACCCCTTCCTAGGCCTAAAAGGGCTAGGCCCTAGGGTTAGGCTAGGCCTACATGTATGTATACTAGCCTAGGCTAGTAGGTAGGGAACGAGTAACACAGCAGAGTAGATACGGACGGGCCTGGCCTAGCCTAAGCATTAAAGCTAGAGAATTTGGGCTGTTTAGAAGCCAATGCCCTAGGTAGAAGACAATGCCCTAGGTAAGATGCCTTATGTATGTAGAACTGTGTAATTATTTTCTTTTTTCTTTTCGAATTATATTTTTACGTATTTGCCGTTGGGTTTTGTGCATTTGGAGAGCGTGTCGTGTTAGTTAGAGGTGCTCGCACCCGTTGATACGCTCTCTCACTGGAAGGAATTTCTCTTTTATATTTATATATATATTTTTGTACTGTTGCCAGTGTAAAGCCGAATAAAATAAAAATAAAAAATAAAATAAAGAAAACCGGTTTGTTAAAAAAAATGTGAACAAACATAGGCCTAGGGCCTTAGGCCTAAACTCTCCTTAATTAATGTGGCCTGCCATCTCCCTACATAGGCCTAGAGAGGCCTATGCTAGGCCTGGCTAAAAAATAACAACAGAGAAATAAAACTTACATCGATCAACCTCGCTGACCGTGGCTTACAACGGTTGCAACTTCATAGCTCGAAAACGCATTTAAAATCGTGATGGCATGTTGATCAAATACACTGTACAGCTTCTAACGTAATATTTGTGATATCAGTTGCCTTGAAATGTAAAAAAACTATTTACTTCTGTAACTTACAAACTCAAAAACTCTTGTAAAACTTCTCCATAAACCAGGAAATTAGTTGGTACAACTTGTGGACGGACCTAAGTTATTAGAAGAAAAAAAAAAACAGTATATCAATATCAAATTTTATGTATATAAAATATGAAAATTAAATTGATGATTAAAAAATTACTTTACATAATATTAATAATTTCACTAAATGTCTTCCATCTCAACAATAATAATTTATTTTTGTTATTTTTTAGGAAAGCTAAGTGTTCTAGAATGTTGACCTAACGTTTGTTGCTTGTGCATTTTGCTGCAATGACATCTACCAAAACATGATCTACATGATGGCAATTATCTCGCACACTCGATTGTATTTGTGCGCATGTTTGATTATTCCATTAATTTGCACGGGTAAAATTAAATAAAGATTGTTAACTGTTTCATAAAGATGATTCTATTTCAAAATGTCTTGTACGTACTGCTTCCTAAAGCTATAAAATTAAAAATGCCAGCAAACGAATTTTCATTCTTATTTTTGTAAGATGCTTGTAAATCAATGACTTATTATTTGTAACCGGTTTCCAAGCATCCAACAAGGCACTCTCCCTCTTGATGTTTGTTAAAATGAGATTTTAGGTTGAGGTCGGGTTGGACAACACCTGTCTCTTATACACTCTAATATTGTGGTTTAAAAGCACATTTTGGACCACACTAAACAATCTCACCCCATGAACGTATAATCGGTATCTTTATTCAAAAAAACTCCTTTATAAAAAAAATACATTAGCAGCAAAAAGCTGAATTGACATATTTTGTACAAAAGGAAAACAAAAACGAGAGAAAAAAAATCAAAAAGCAAAAACATCACATTAAGACAATACAAAAGCAAACCCAATCCATTAGTTCACTGCGTTAAAAATTGCACAATGAACCCTCAAATGATTTTTCTTTATTCCAGGCCGTCGACCGAGGATTCATCTGCCCTTTGGTTTTAACCCCTCCGTCGGACACGTCAGACCCCTCGTCGGAAAATTTCTGAAGCGACCGCTGGTCAAGCAGGTCCGACCCAACTAAAATTAATCAAAGCAAAAAGATATCCCGATAATACCGTAATATAATAAATTAAATGTAAACCACCCTCCTTTTATTCATGATTTACTGAGCAACTGAGTGACCCCGGCCTGAGACCCGGCGCACACGCAGTGTCACTCAGTAAATCTCGAAATTAACTCTTCTCTGGTATTCCCTGCTGCGACCACCTCGCGAAAGAAATCACCTCCCTTAACGTCTGAATCCCATGGTCCCGTTTGTTCTCCCTATCTAATTAGTGCATTTGATACCTCTCGTAAGCCACCAGGAAGCTACTTTCAGGATGTAGGGTATCCACCGGTTGGGGATGAGGAAAAAATTAAAATTTATGATTTTACGTTACATGAGATGGCCAGAAATGGCACACTCAAACTCAAAATTAGGAATACCACAAGGTTGTTTTATATCTCCTGTGCTGTATTTTCTTTTTACCTCTGTCTTCAGGTATAAAATGATTCATGTTCCGAGTAATTAAATATGCAGATGACACTGTTATTAGGCCTACTGTGTACATTTTAAGTTTAAACAATATAATGAAAATGAATATCGTATCAGATTTTGTTAAATGGAGTAAATCAAATAATTTAAAGCTCCATGTAGGTAAAACAAATGAGATGATTGTAGATTTATGAAAAACCAAAGACTATATAACTCCTATAAAAATAGATGGCGATGAAGTAGAATTAGTAGAAGAATATAATATTTAGAGTTTGTCATTGATAAACTGTCATAGAAAGCAAACACAGATAAAATATTTAAAATGGCCAATCAAAGAATGCATGCAAAAATGAAAATCAGTATCGATAACTCTTTGCTAAAACTGTTTATAATACATAATCCAAAGTCATTTTGTCTGATATGTAATTATGGAAATATTATTAATAACAAAGAAAAATAGACTAAATCGCATTACTAAGAAAGCATACATTGTAAAAGAACCATTGGTGCCGCACCTCAATGAATTGTATGAAGTTTGGGTAGTTAAGGCAGCAAATAGATTAATTAATGATGTTGAACATCCGATATCGTCTTAGTAAATATTTCATTACAAAACGCAGACTACATGTTCCAATAACTAAAACTAACAGATCAAAATATGCTTTTGCTACAAATGCCATTCATATTATTAATTTACATCATCAGCAATAATAATAATGATTGGCAATAATAATAATAATAATAATAATAATAATAATAATAAAAATAAATAAATAAAAATGATTGGCAATAATAATAATAATAATAATAATAATAATAATAATAATAAAGATATGATGGATGGCAGTCATAATAATAATAATAATAATAATAATAATAATAATAATACTGTGTAATGTTTTATCATGTATTTTCTGTTTCATATTATATATTTTGTGGATGTGTGCAAATGCAACAGCTTACCTTTTTACATATAATTTTTAATTATAACCATTTACTAATATATTTGCCAGTCTCAAGAAGCATTTCTGTTATTTTATGATGGACAAAGAAAGCAATTCAGTATTCAGTATAATAAAATGATTGATAGAATCATATACTGTAATGCATTCACAATGGATACAATTCACCTACAAAATTAATGGAATCGCCTGTTCGGCTACTCAGAGATCGTCTATCTGGTGAATTTCTCCATGACGGAAATAGTGCCGACAAAAAATACAGCTCGGCCTAGGCCAACTTTTACCAAAACAAAGGGGAGGTGCAGGAAAATAGCAAGTTTATAGGCCTACTGTAGACTAGGGTCACGGTGACCAAGTGGGAGTTGATAGGCTGTTTATAAATATTAACAATTACTGTTTGATTTGGTAGGTATAAATGTGAAAAAAGGATCAAAATATTTAAATTAGCATTTTTGGCTTAACGTATTATATATAGGCCTAAGCCTAGACTAGGCCTAGGCTAGGCCCGTAGGCCAACGTACCATTTCAATGTAAAATAAGGCTTGCGCGGGGAATTAGCCTAGGCCTATATATCCCCGTCCAAAAATTAGGCCTGGCGCCAAGACTTGCGTCAGCACATTTTGGCGGTTATGTTTATACAGGAAATTAGCCTTTGTTTTGGCCTTTCTCTCAATATACAACCAATAATGTTATATAAGCACTGCAGTAGTTACGGTTCTGCACTTATATTTTCCAATGATTTTGCATTGGTTTTTGATTGAGATATCCTCCGTGCATGATGAAATACTTATTATTATTATATTGGCACGTTGAGACTGACAGTTTTTTTCTAGCTCAATACCCATTTTTTTATGATTTTTATTTTTTATAGATTTGACAAAATATGGCTGAAGATCAGGGAGTTAGCTCATTGCCTTTGCCGCCCAAGCAATACATAAAGAACTACACTGATGAGAGAATACGAAATGGAAATATTCCTAGCCCACCGCGTCCACCTCCTGATAAATATGATATGTTTGGTGCAACATTTCAACCAGATGATGCTATTATACGCCAGTTGGAAACACAGGGACTACAGCGGCTGCATCCAAAACAGTTTGATCACAAAGAAGAGTTGAAACGTCTGAACCATTCGATTCTCGTGAATTTTTTAGATTTGGTAGACATTTTGATCACTGCCCCACAAAGTCCACACAGACAGCAGAAAGTTGAGGACATTAACTTGGTTTTTATTCACATGCATCATTTGATCAATGAGTTCAGACCTCACCAAGCGAGGGAGACATTACGAGTTATGATGGAAGTGCAAAAAAGGCAAAGACTAGATACAGCAGAACGATTTCAAAAACACTTGGAGAAGGTGACTGAATCACTGCAGAATTGTCTAGAGTCATTGCCATCAAACATAGGATACATAGAAAGTAAAGTGGTGACATCAATTGAGATCGAGCAACAGGAATCAGGGAATGTCAAAAAAGATGCAAAAGAGACAGTAGAACAGAAAAAGACAACAGAGGATATTTTTTACGATAAAGATAAACTAATGTGTGATATGGTAGACTCTATCTGAAGTTTCATCCATTCACACCAGTGGTGGATTCAAGGGGTTGGGGGAGTTACAGCAATCGAGATCGAACAACAGGAATCAGGCAATGTCAAAAAAGCATGAAAGTGACAGTGGAACAGAAAAGACAATAAAGGAAACTTTTTACAATAAAAATAGACTAATGTGTAATATGGTATACTCTATTGGATTTTTCACCCATTCACACCAGCGGCGGATTCAAGAGGTGGGTGGGGGGGGGGTGTAGGTGCAGCTTCACCCTTCTGAATTGTTCAAAATTTTTTTTTTTTTAAAGGAGAAAGAAAGAAAATTATATTCAAATTTTAAGGCTGAGAGTGCCATTTCCGGCCATCTAGAAGTGCCATAATCATAAATTTTCTTACCTTATTCCCAACCATGGCAGGGCTGAAAGTGGTATAGAAACTCCATCTGTGAATTCACTTCCTGGGCTCTCTCTATTTCAATTTCCGCCACTACACACTAGCATACTGTAAGTATAGTAACTTCTCGGGCATAAGCCTACGTCCTTGATTACAAAACTACCAATTTTGGGGGTGTGATATTTCCGGAGGATCAGAAAGTGCAAACATTATAGTGAGCCTAGCTAGGCTAGGTGTCTACCTGAAGTACCACAGAAAGTCCAGTCTAGAACTTAGGCCTCACAATGCACAGAGTGTTATTTCCAAAAGTTGAAGGTGAGCATACATTATGCAAGGATTACATTTTGCATAATTAAAGGCAGTTTAAGCTGGGTTTCCTTAGAATCGCTACACGGTTGCTACAGCGTTTTCACTGCAATCTTTGCACTGTGTAGCTGTCCCCAACCCAATTGGGAACACTCCCTGGTGCAAGTGACCAATCAGCATCGCCAAAGGAGTCAGCCATAGCGTGTAGCAATTTTATGGAAACCAGCCTTTACTTGGGGTAGGCTTGTACTATAGTAATACAATAATTTTACAGTACAGTATTATGATGTCTAGTCTGATATAAATAAAGACACCTGATTCACAACTGCCAATTACAGGCTAGAGAGTTCAGAATGTTTACATTTTCTGTTTATATAAACAAGCATTGCTTATGATTGCAGACCTCCAAAATGTTGACATAGTAATTACACTACATAAATGCAGTAAACTGTATCTTGGGATCTTATTTTTAATTAAAATAGATGGGAACTGATTAGCATTTATAAATTGCAATTATGTGAGCTCCTTGTAGTCGTTAATGACAATAAAAGTTATGTACAGTACAGTATTATATTTGTCGTTTATGAACTAGGCCTACATATCAAATTGACAAGTGCTATCATTATGAAAGTGTAGGTTTGCAACTACTGTACTACTACTGTAAATGGATTCAATTGGCCCTAACTTTGGGTTACTCAATTTATATTGCACTTAGTGCACGCCATACCAAATTTATTTGGCGTCCCATACTCAATTTCTGTTTTTTCAGACTATTTTTTTTTAAAGTTTCTTATTCCCTCGCTAAATAACTTGCTCGTTGGTGGCTCTGACCAGAATGAGAAAAAATAATGGACTTGTGGCAAGTTTAAAATACGATATTATTTACATGCTCGTGCCTATACACTGAGCAATGCTCAATATTTTTATTTGGAAACAGTTTTACAACAATGGTACACGTACGTAACGGTGCGTCCAAGAAAAAGAATAAAGACTAACGAAAAAATAGTAGTAGGTATTATATTGCTACATTATTGTAATGTGGTTTCGTTTTTTGCATATAATCTTGATTCGGAAATTCCAAAACTATTGTATCACTGATTATGTGATTACGATTGTTTGGATCATTTTGATCATCATGTGTATACACAGTTCTCCCTCTCATTAAAGACACCTTAAACACTCCCTCTATTAGAGGTATAGACCAGGGGCGGATCAAGGGATGTCCGAAAAAAAAAAGGGGGGGGGGCGATCGAAATAACGCCACCCTAGTGGTTCCGGGGGAATTCCCCTTGATTTTTTTCTTTTTCTAGACGTCCGAAAATAACCTCTGAGGCGTTTTAGGCAATCAATTTTTTCTTTATCTTTCTTTTTTTTCTTTCCAAAAGGGGGAGGGGTGGCCCTCCCTAAATCCGCCCCTGTAGACCACTTTTCTGTGGTTCCAAATGAACAATTAACTGTCGTTTATCTTTATTATTCTAATTAGAATTAGAGACAAAAGTTGCTAAAAATCATAGAAACCCGGGCGACTGTAATTGTGTATAATTACTCCTCTCTCCCTCACTCCACTCTTTAAAAACGTAATTGGTTACCTAATTAATTAGGGGTTTGTGTGGCAGGTGTCTAGTTAAACAACTGATTTTTAATCAACATATTGTTTAACATAGATTAATTTTAATATTGATCGGTAAATCAGGGTGGGAAAAATATATTGATTCTTTGATTGAACATGTCCTACATTGAAAATCACCAAAATACATGACTGACAGTTATATGTAACAGTGGCTCCAGAAATTTGCTGACAAAAAGTGGTCCGACAGCGGTCCTAACCAAGGGGCTAATTAGAACCTCCATCAGGGGTGGCGCCAGTGCGTGTGTGTGT